AATAAATAAATAAATAAATATTTGGTAGAATTAAAAAAAACAGTAATAGTGCAAAGATAGATAAATCAGTGGAACAGACTATAGTCACAGACACAATCAGTTGATTAATGGGAAAGAAATGACACTGTAATGTGTCAGGAAAAACATGACCTTTTCAATAATGGAGTTGAAATGATTGCATACCTATATTGAAAAATATAATCTTGGGTGCCTGGGTGGCTCAGTCAGTTAAGCGTCCCACTTTGGCTCAGGTCATGATCTCACCATTCGTGGGTTTGAGCCCCGTGTCGGGATCTGTGCCTGGAACCTGGTTTGGATTCTGTGTCTCCCTCTCTCTGTGTCTCTTCCTCTCTATGTGTCCCTCCCCGACTTGTGCTCTCTCTCTCAAAAATAAACATCAAAAAAAATTTTTTTACATAAAAATATAATCTTAATTCCTACCTCAGACTTTAAAAGAAAATAAACTCTAGGGGCACCTGGATGACTCAGTCGGTTAAGTGTCCTCCTCTTGGTTTTGGCTCAGGTCATGATCTCACATGGGATGGAGCCCTGAATTAGGCTCTGCACTGACAGTGTTGAGCCTGCTTGGTATTCTGTGTCTTCCTCTCTCTCTCTGCCCCCACCTCCCTCTATCTCTCTCCCTCTCTCAAAAAAAGAAGTAAACAATAAAACATAAAAAAAAAAGAGAGAGAAGAAATTCTAGATGTGTTATGGTTCTAAATGTTAAAGGAGTATATTTTATTCATAAATGTGAAGGAAATCACAGAATATCTTCACAGGTAAACCAATACATTTTTTTTTTTTAAATTTTTTTTCAACGTTTATTTATTTTTGGGACAGAGAGAGACAGAGCATGAGCGGGGGAGGGGCAGAGAGAGAGGGAGACACAGAATCGGAAACAGGCTTCAGGCTCTGAGCCATCAGCCCAGAGCCTGATGCGGGGCTCGAACTCACGGACCGCGAGATCGTGACCTGGCTGAAGTCGGACGCTTAACCGACTGCGCCACCCAGGCACCCCAATAATTTTACTGTTTTAATTAGTGTAGTTTTAATACGTCTTGAACAACCCTGCTATTCTTCTTCAAGGTTGTCTTGAATATTTGGCCTTTTGTACTTCCTTATACATTTTAGGTTCACAGTTTACACACGCATACCCCCCTGCTGCCAAAGAGGTAAAACATTTACCAAGGTACAAACTACAAGAGCACTTAAAAGAACAAAACATCAAATATCTAGAGATTGACTTGTATTAAATCACTTGTCAACCTCAAGAAATTGGGGAGATTTCACACAGAAGATGGATTTCTGGCTGTTGAAACAGTTGGAAGCTCTGGCACCACTGTGCCGATGTTCCCGGGTGGCTGGGTCTGAGTAGCAGGTGCCTTCCTGGATGGGACATGCAGTCCTCCCAGTTTCCCAGAGCGCTAACTGCAGTTTTCCTGTTTTCTGTCATCTTGACGTTCTGGCACTGGAGTCTTGCTGACTGCCCCTCCCAGGGCGAGCCGGTTCTCAGAGACAGCAAATGGCTGGCCCAGTAATGTGTGCCTTTCATAGGTCAATCAACCAATCCAGGGCTCGTGCTCTGGACCACCACCTCTGTCTGGCGACACCAGGAAGCAATATTGCTCTGCCCTAATGACTCCTTTTAATGAATGTCCCCCCTGGGAATTATTTTGAAAGGGATGTACGTTCTCTTTTCGATGGGGTTCCTTTTGTCAAAGTCTACAAGACGTTTTCCTGTAGTGCCACCCAGAACGGGGGGTAGCTGGTTCTGCTGGTTATTTTTTCACTCAAGTGCACTTAGCTGAATCATCTCTAATGCTCACAGCAGCCTTTACAAACAGGTATTATCTTCATTTTGCAGAGGAGGAAACAGAAGCTGAAAAATGTGAAGGAACATTTCTAAAGACGCAGAATGGGGATTTGAACCTTGGTCCTTCTGGTTCCACTGCCCGTGGTCTTTCTGGCTTACATGAACTCCTTATTACTTGCACTGTACACTTCCTTCGAGTGAAAATGTCTGTGTTATCAATTTACTCATGAGGATTTATACACAACACTTCAGAAAATGTCTGCTTTATTTCTGCACATCATGTCACCTCCAGTAGCATATACATGTCATAGGAAACAGAGTAAACAGAAAAGCAAAGACCAGGCTCTCCTTGTCATAATCTGTAACTACATAATTATACCATTTCTATTATTTATACCGCATCACGTAACGCATCTTCTTCTATAGGCTGTCTGTGCCTCTAGCCTCTTAATGTGATGTGCAAATTATCACTATATATAATTTATCACTAATTTTATTTATAATTTATCTTGACTTTCTTCCCAATCCAACTCATCCAAGTTTCAGCTTAGTTTCAGATATTATACGTATATTCACTTGGCCAAAATCTGATGTGGAAGACCGTCACCTTGCAGAGAATAAAAATCCATTTCTGAATTTCCAATTGCTTTTCATGAGTCACTTCTGGTGAATTCCCATTTCTCACTTCTCAAGTTAAATAAGACATATTTGTTTTGAATGGTAACATATAGCTATTTCACTCTAATCTCTGTGGGGTTTTTTTTAGCAGACATTATTACTTAATATCTCTTGGAACAGGTACAGATTATGCTCTAATTACCATGGGTTACACTGTGTTTTGAAATAAATTATGACTGTACCTATATTTTTAATTTTAATTATTCTACCGCCCTTTTTAGGTCTTATAATGTGAATAATCTGACAGAGGACTTAAAAGGTCTGTACAAAGTTGCTGGTGCTGAAGGAAAAGGTATCACCTTCATCTTTACTGACAATGAAATAAAAGATGAGGCATTTCTAGAATATCTTAACAACCTGCTATCTTCAGGGGAGGTAGGTCTCAAAAGTAGAAAGGAAAGCTCTTGTTTAAAAGATGTAAATTATATTTGAATAGAAAAAGTAGCAACCCTTCAGAGGTGAGGCCATTTAACATACATTTTTCATTTTAGAAATGATTAATGTACAAGATTTGGTAAATTTTTTAAAAACTTCCTGTGGAATTAATGCTGCCCACGTCCAGATTTTGTGTGTGTGTGTGCTTTGTTCCATTTTAAATATGATTGTGTATCTATTTCATCAGTCTTCAGTTTGGTCCTATAATTTATTTTAGAAGGACCAAAGTATCTAATAGTCAGGAGTATAAAAGAGATGAAAATATTCTGCCAGCTCTCAGTAGATGTTTGTGTCACCTTTTCTGACACCACCTTTATCAGCACTTCCATGATCACTCACATGGTTGATGCTTCCTTAGAAGGGCTCATGGGACTCAGCATATAGTTGTACTCTTGTCTAAGATTCATTACAGCAACACAGCAAGGATTCGTGGCCAGATCAATAAAGAAAAAGACACCTCATGTGGAGTCTGGAGAAATCCATGTGCAGCTTTCCTAATTTCTCACCAAACGGGCCCTACAGAGTGTGCTTCACCTCCAGCAGTGAGATGGGTAACACATGCACTGTGTGTCCGTTCTGGGAAGCCTGTTTGAGATTCAGAGGTCAGCAGTTTTATTGGGGGCTGGTCTGGCCATCACTCCCTGCCTAGACACAACTGCCAGGATTGCAGACTCCCAGAAGGAGAGCACATGTTCACCATCTATCACAACGTTTGTGTAAATAGTCCAGGCACAGAACAACCTTATCAATTAGTAATGGAGGAGATGTTCTAAACCCAAGGTCCCAGATGCTGGCCAAGTGCTAGCCCTGCAAGCACACTCTTCTCAAAATCAGGCCCACAGTGTCAACTCTTCTCTGTGCCATGGTGTCCATCGATGCTTGCTGCTGCATAAGCTACTTAAGTACCTTGGAGAGAGGACTTCTGCAAGATGGTGGCATAGGAAGATCCTGAGTTCACTTCCTCCCATGGAGGCACCAAATCTACAGCTACATATGGGTTATTTCCCTCTGAAAAAGATCTGAAAACCAGATAAGCACAACAAAGGATAAAAAGACCACATCAAGACAGGTAGGAGGGGCAGAGACATAGTCTTGCCAAAAATATCACCCTCAGCATGACAACATGCAATAGGGAGGGATCTCACAAATATGGAGCTTCTCCTGGACCAGTGAAGGGCTGGTGCCTCACATCAGGCACCCCAACCCCTGGGCTATACACCAGAGAGACAAGCCCCCAAAACCTATGGCTTAGAAAACCAATGGGGTTAGAAGAAGAAGAAGAGGAAGAGGAAGAAGAAGAAGAAGGAGGAGGAGGCAAGAAAACCAAGAGGGCTGACATCCAAGGGACTCAAAGTGCTATAGGAAACTGAGGTTCTCCTTTTAAGGGGCTCCCAGATAGTCTCATCCTGAGACCCAGCAAACAAACAAACAAACAAACAAACAAAAAACACCAGCAGTTTAAACAATGCCTGGATTATATGTGAAGGAGGTTCATTAGCTAATCTTAAAGTATCGACTGGAGAGGGAGGGGACAGTTGAAAAGTCTCCCCAGTGATGAAGTTGCTGGCAGATGCCAGTTTTGCACTTTCTACCTACCCTGCTTGCACAGGTGAGCAGGCTTGGACAAGGCACCCTCCTGCCACCTTGCTAAGACAGGTAGGGGTGAGTGGGTGGTCACGATACTATCCTGCTGCCTTTTTGAAGTTGGAGAGCATGGGTGGTTGTGCCACTCCTCTGCTCTCTGGCTGGAGTAGATGAGCAATGAATGCAGCATTCACCTGTTCCCTAGGTAAGGTCCACAAACATGGGCAGTTGTGGTCACTCCATCACTCCCTGGATGGGGCTGGCAAGTGCAAATGGTTGAAATATTCTCCCACCCAGTCTAAAGCTGGTGCACACACTCAGACAAGGCACTCACTAACTGCAGTCCTGAAGCCCATGGGAGCATGTAGTCAAAACATTTTCCTACTGTCTTTCTGAAGCCAGCAAGTGTGTGCCTCTTCTACACTCTCCAGCTGCCTAGTTAAAGCCAACAAGCACAGGCGATCCACATGGGGATGCTCCTTGATTTCCTGATGCCGGTGGCCAAGGGGACTGGCTTTTCTGAGCTCTCCGGGAACGTAACATTGGAAAGACAGTTCCTGGCAGGCTGCCACAACCACGACACTGTACAGACAGCAGACTGAAACACAACCCCGGTCTTCCTGGAAAAAGGCCTATTAGCCTGGAGCTTCCATCAGCTGAACAGGCTTTAGCTTTCCCACACAGCTAGAGGCTGAGGAGACACTGGCAGGGAATGTAAGTAAGCAAAAGACACCATCCTTGCACAACCCCTTGGCCTTGCTAGAGCTCAATGAGACCTCCCAGAAAGGAGCTTATATGTTTGTCTGGAGCCCCAATTTTTTCAATCTAGAGAGACCTTCTGGTTTGGAGGCCAGCAGGGATTATGATTGTGGCCCTACAGGACTGCCTGTATTTGCATCCTTTATTTTTTTTTAATTTTTTTTAATGTTTATTTATTTTTGAGAGCCAGAGAGACAGAGCATGAGCAGGGGAGGGGCAGAGAGAGAGGGAGACACAGAATCCCAAGCAGGCTCCAGGCTCTGAGCTGTCAGCACAGAACCCGACGCGGGGCTCGAACTCACAAACCGTGAGATCACGACCTGAGCCGAAGCCGGACGCTTAACCGACTGAGCCACCCAGGTGCCCCTGTATTTGCATCCTTTAAAAGTTGCTGCCTGAGGGCCTAGCTTCTAATCAGCCTGAAACCAGGTGCTAAATGAGATTCCTCCCCCTTGGAACACTGACTGGTCTTGGTATACCCTCAAGAAGGACATATCAACAATAAAGCAGTGGTTTAGGTAATAAGAAACTTTTGTGAGACAACCAAGAGCTAGGGCAAAGTTGAATGAGAAGGTCCATCACCTACATAAGGCCACTGCTTCAAGACTGGGAGGAATATCTCTTTTGCCTCATAGAAACAAACACAGAGAACCAAGCAAAATGAAGAAGCAGAGAAGTATGTTATAAATGAAAGTATCTCAGAAAAATACCTTAATGATATGAGGATGAGTAACCTACCTGGTAAAGTGTTCAAAGTAATGGTCATAAAGATGTTCACTGGCCTCATGAGAAGAATGGATGAACACAGTGAGAACTTTAAGATATAGATGACATAAGAAAGTACCAAACAGAAGTCGCCACCCATGCTCTCCAACTTCAACAAGGCGGCAGGATAGTACTGTGATCACTCACTCACCCCTACCTGTCTTAGCAAGGTGACAGGAGGGTACCTTGTTCAAGCCTGCTCACCTGTGCAAGCAGGGTAGGTAGAAAGTGCAAAACTGGCACAAAACAATAACTGAACTGAAAAAATACACTAAAGGGGTTCAACAGCAAACTGGAAGAAGCAGAAGAACAGATCAGTGAGCTGGAAGACAAAGCAATGCAAATCACCCAGACAGAGCATCAAAAAGAAAAAATAATAATGAAGATAACTTAAGGGACATATGGGGCATCAAATGGAATAATAAGTGAATTATAGGGGGCCCAATGGAGAAGAGAAAGAAAAAGGGGGAGAAAATTTATTTGAAGAAAGAATGGCTGAAAACTTCCCTAACCTGGAGAAGGAAACAGACATCCAAGGCCAGGAAGCCAAGAGTTCCAAATAAGATGAACCCAAAGATATTCACATCAGGACATAATATAAAAGGTTAAAGATAGAGAGAATCTTACAAGTAACAAGAGAAAAAACAAATTGTTACATACATACATACATACATAAAGTTACCAGCTGAGTTCCCAGCAGAAACGTTACAGGCCAGAAGTGAGTGGCACAGTGTATTTAAGGTGCTTAAAGGAGAGAAAAAAATTTCCCACCATGAATACTCTATTCAGCAAGGTTACTATTCAGAATTGAAAAAGAGATAAACAGATTTTCAGGTTAGTAAAAGCTAAACAAACTCATCTCTACTAAACAAGCTTTATAAGAAATGTGAGAGGGACTTCTTTAAGCTGAAAAGAAATGGCACTAAGGAATAGCCAGGAAGCATACAAAAATAAAAATCTTACTGGAAAAGGTAAATACATAGTAGAGGAGTTGGGTTAGTCACTTACGAAACTACTATGAAGGTAGTAAAGGTAAAGGTAATAAAATTAGCTAAAACTATAATAATCAGTTAAGGGATATAAAAAGATACAAAAGGTGACATCAAAAACATTAAATATGGGGGGAGGTAGTAAAACTAGAATTTTGGAATGTGTTCAAGTTTAAGTTTCTATCAAGTTAACAGAGACTATTATATAATGAAATGATACAATGAACGTCACAGTAACAACAAAGTAAAAACTTACAGTAAACATTCAAAAGAAACTGAGCAAGGAATCTGAACCTAACACTGAAGAAAGTAATCAAACCACAAGGGATGAGAGAAAGAGAAGAAGAAAGGAACAGAGGGGAACCACGAAAGCAGCCAGAAAACAATTAACAAAATGGCAATAAGTACATATCTATCAAAAATGACTTTAAATGTAAGTGGACTAAATTATCTAACTAAAGACATGGAGTGGCTGAATGGGTTTTTTTTTTTTTTTTTTTTAAAGACCCATCTATATGCTACCTACAAGAAACCCAATTCAGAAGTTAAGGACACAGACTGACAGTGAAGGGATGGAAAAAGATATTCTATTCAAATGGAAGTGAAAAGAAAGCCGGTATAGTTCAGATCAGACAGAAAAGACCTTAAACCCTTCTTTAAAAAAAATTTTTTAATGTTTATTTTTGAGAGAGAGAGAGAGAGAGAGAGAGAGGGAGGGAGAATGTGAGTGGGGGAGGGGCAGAGGAAGAGGGAGACACAGAATCCGAAGCTGGCTCACTCTGTGAGTGGTCATCACAGAGCCCGATGTGGGGCTCGAACTCATGAACTGTGAGATCATGACCTGAGCTGAAGTCAAATGCTTAACCGACTGAGCCACCCAGGTGCCCCAGGACAGAATAGACTTTAAAACAGATCATAACAAAAGACAAAGAAGGCACTACATAATGATAAGAGTCAACCCAGTAAGAGGATATGACATCTATGTATGTGTCATATGTATGTGAACAACATAGGAGCACCAAAATATATTAAACAAATATTAACATGCCTAAAAGGAGAAATTGACAGCAATACAATAAAAATAGGGGACTTTAACACCCCACTTAACATCAATGGATAGATCATTCAGATTGAACACCAGTAAGGAAACATCAGCCTAAACAATACACTAGACCATGTGGATTTAATAGATATAGAACATTCCATCCCAAAACAGCAGAACACACTCTTCTTAAGTGCACGTGGAACATTCTCCAGGATAGATAATAGGTTAGGTCACAAAACAAGTCTTAATAAATTCTAGAAGACTGAAATCATATGAAGTATGTTTTCAGACCATAATTGTATGATAGTAGAAATCAGTTATAAGAAGAAAAGTGGAAAGACAGTAAATAGAGATTAAACAACATGTTACTGAATAATTACTGGATCATAGAAGAAATCAAAGGAGAAATTTAAAAAAAGACTAGAGACAAAGGAAAACAGATATACAACACACCAAAATTTATGCACTGCAGTAAAAATGTTTTTTAAAGGAAAGTTCATAATAATACAAACCTACCTCAAGAAATAAGAGAAATCTTAAATAGACAATTTAACTTTACACCTAAAGGAACTAGAAATGGTGGAGGGGGAGCTCAAAGTTAGTAGAAGTAAGGAAATAATAAAGTCGGAGTGGAAATAAATAGAAACTAAAAAGAAAATAGAAAAGATCAGTGAAGCTAAGAGCTGGTTCTTCGAAAAGATAAGCAAAATGGACAAGCCCTTCGCTAGACTAAACAAGGAAAAAAAAGAGAGAGAGAACTCTAATAAATAAAATCAGGGATAAAAGAGGTAGTTACAATTGATACCAAACAAATTGGACAACCTAGAAGAAATAGGTACATTTCTAGAAACTTACAAGACAAAATCATGAAGAAATAGGAAATCCAAATAGACTGATTACTAGTAAGGATGTTAAATCAGTAATCAAAAACCTCCCAACAAAAGTCTAGGACCAGAGGCTTCATTGGTGAATTCTACCAAACATTGAAAGAACATTTAATAGCTATTCTCCAACCCTTCTAAAAAATGGAAGAGGCGGGAACACTTCCAAACTCATCTGAGAAGGACAGACTTACCCTGATACCATAGCCAGACAAAAACACCACAAGAAAAGAAAATTACAGACCAATATCCATGATGAGCACGGATGCAAAAATCCTCAGTAAAATGTTTGCAGACTGAATTCAACAATATGGTAAAATGATCATATACCATAATAAAGTGGGATTTACTCAAGAGATGCAAGAATGGTTCAAAATCCACATCAATCAACATAATACATCACATTGACAAAATGAAACACAAAAATTGTATGATCATCACAATAGATGCTTAAAAAAGCATTTGACAAAATTCAACATCCATTTATGATTAAAACCTCAAGAAGGTGGCTACAGCGAGAATGTACCTCAAAATAATAAAGACCAGGGGTGCCTGGGTGGCTCAGTCGGTTAAGTGTCCAACTTCGGCTCAGGTTACATATCCATAGCTAATATCATACTTAACAGGAAGTTTTTTGTCAGGCAAGAAAAAGAAATAAAAGTCATCCAAATTGGAAAGGAAGAAGTAAAACTGTCAGTATTTGCACATGACATTATATCATATATAGAAAATCCTAAAGACTCCACCAAAAAACTGTAGAACTAATACACAGATTCAGTAAAGTTTCAGGATACAAGAATAATATACAAACATTGGTTGCATTTCTACATACTAATAAAGAGCTAGCAGAAAGAAAAATTAAGAAAACATGCCATTTACAACTGCATCAAAAAGAATAAAATACCTAGGAGTAAATTTGATCAGAGAGGTGAAAGACCTATACACTGAAAACTGTAAGACATTGATAAAAGAAACGAAGAAGATACAAATATATAGAAAGATATTTTCTTCTCATGGAATGGAAGGATTAATATTGTTAAAATGTCCATATTATCCAAAGCCATCTACAAATTCAGTATAATAGCTATCAAAACTCCAATGTAATTTTTCACAGATCTAGAAGAAAGATTTCTAAAATTTATATGGAACCACAAAAGACCCTGAATAGCCAAACAATCTTGAAAAAAAAAAAGAACAAAGGTGAATGAATCATGATCTCTGATTTTAAACTATACTACAAAGCCATAGTAATCAAAACAGTGTAGTATTAGCATAAAAATAGATCAGCAGAACAGAATAGAGAGCCTCAGCAATAAGGCCATGCATATATGGTCAATTTATGACAAAGGAGCCATGAATATACGATGCAGAAAGGACAGTCTCTTTAATCAATGGTGTTGGGAAAACTGGCTGAAGGAAACTGTAGCACTACTTTATATCATGTACAAAAGTTTAACTCAAAATGGATTAAAGACTTGAATTGTTAGGACCTAAAATCATAAAACTCCTAAAAGAAAATATAGGTGGTAAGCTCCCTGAAGTTGGTCTTAGCAATGATTTTATGGATTTGACTCCAAAAGCAAGGGAAACTAATGGAAAAATAAACAAGCGGGACTTCTTCAAACTAAAATGCTCTGCACAGTGAATAAAACAATCAACAAAATTAAAAGGCAACTTACTGACTGAGAGAAAATATTTGCAAGTTGTATATCTGATAATGGGTTAATAGTCAAAATACATAAAGAACCCATACAACTCAATAACAACAACAACAACAACAACAACAACAACAACAACAACACCCAAACAATCCTCCAGCCAGAGGATCTGAATATAGATTTTTCCAAAGAGGATGTACAGATGGCTAATAAGCACATGAAAAAATGGTCAACATCATTGTTGGAGAAATGCAAATAAAAACCACTGCAAGGTAGCACCTCATACCTGTCAGAATGGCTATTATCCAAAAGATGAGAAATAACAAGTTTGGGTAAGGATGTGAAGAAAAGGGAACCCTCATACACTGTTGGTGGGAATGTAAACTGGTGCAGCCACTTGGAAAACAGTAGGGAGGATCCCAAAAAATTAAAAATAGAACTACTTTGTGACCCAGCAATTCCACTATCTGTCTGAAGAAAATGAAAACACTAATTCAAATAGATACATGCTCATTGCAGCATTATTTACAATAGCCAAAATATGGAAACAACCCAAGTATCCATTAATGGATGAATGCATAAAGAAGATGTGGTATGTATGTACACACACATGTGCACGCACACGCACACAGACACACACAAAGGGATTCTACTCAGACACAATAAAAAATGCAGTCTTGCCATTTGTGAACACATGGGTGGATCTTGAGAGTAGTATGCTAGGTGAAATAAGTCAGACAGAGAAAGAAAATGCTGCATGATTTTACTTTTATGTGATATATAAAAAACAAAACAAAACCCAGACTCATAGATAACAGAGAACAGATTGGTGGTTGACAGAGGGAGGGGGACTTGCTGGGGTGGGGGTGGGGAAGACAGGTAAAGGGGATCAAGAAGTACAAACTTCCAGTTATAAAATAAAGAAGTCATGGGGATGTAATATATAGTGTCGGGAATATAGTCAATAACATTGTGTACCTTTGTATGGTGACAGATGGTAACCAGACTTATTGTAGTGATTATTACACAAAGTATATAAATGTTGAATAACCTGAAGCTAATATAATATTGTGTATCAATTATACCTTGATAAAAAAATACACAAACAGTAAAATAAAAAAGAATTACTTCAGATGCAGAATTGTGTCAGAGAATCAGAGAGTAAAGAGTGTCACTGGACATTTTAAAGAGATGACTGGAATGGCAGATACATTTTTGGTGATAGCTATTTGAGCCAAGGGAAACAACATTTTCTCCTGATTAAACTGCTCAGTAAAAAGTAGTATTCTTGGTCATCTCTGGCAAATGGAGGATTTTGACTGTGGAGATGCAGAAAGAAAATATGAAAAAAGATGACACATTGGGGGGAAAAAAGGACCAGATTCTGGCAGTGAATTGGTGTGGGGAACCTGTAAAAAACAGAACACTTTCTTGTCTGTTTCTCAAAGATCTCCAATCTGTTTGCGCGAGATGAGATGGATGAAATCACCCAAGGTCTGATATCGGTAATGAAAAAGGAGCTGCCTCGCCACCCTCCTACCTTTGATAATCTGTATGAATACTTCATTTCAAGATCAAGGAAGAACTTGCATGTTGTTCTCTGCTTTTCTCCAGTGAGTTGTTACTTAATTTGTATTTATGTGGGAGGAGTTACTTACTGAAATGTACTTAATATTCACCTTCGGTGATGAAACGATTCACCCGGAAACTAACATTTGTTACATTGAATTGAAATTAACACTTCATTACCACCAATCTCCACCAGAGGCAATCTCCTACCAAAGTGTAATAATTTAAAATAATTCATTTTTATAAGAAATTATTTCATAGCCTACAGCTTTCATTAATTGCCTAGAGATATAGATTATTCAAATTGTTAAGGGATTTGGTGATGTAATCTTGTCCAGTTCTTCCTCCAATACAGACATACCATCTAGAATGTCCCTGATGAAGGTTTGACTGTCTCTAGCTCTCTGTACTGTCCGGTATAGTAGCCATTAGACATGTATGGCCATTTACATTTTGATTAGTTAAAATGAAGTAAAATAAAAATTCAGTTCCTCAGTCCCGCTAGCTCCATTTCAAATGCTCAGTAGCTACATGTGGCATGTGGCCACCATACTGGAAAGCGCATACGTAGAACATCTCCAGAGTCACAGAAAGTCCTGTTGGTCAGCTCTGCTCTATGGGTCTCACTAACTCACAAGCCAACCTGCTTAATTTTAGATAGTCTAATTGCCAGAGAGGTCTTCTTTAGAATGAATTGGATTTTGTCTTTCTGTTTTTTCCCCTGTGATTCTGTTTCTGGCCTGTAAAATGAACCTCATCCCCTGCTTCAGCTCCTCAGATATTTAGAGAAAGTCTTTGCAGATTCGCTAAGTTGTTTCTTTTGTAGACCAAACACCTCCCACCCCTTCCACTATTCTCACTTGTCCTAGTGTCCAGGACTTTCACTGTCCTGGTCATCTCTCTCTGCAAGAGTTCCAGTTTGTCACTTTCCTCTTAAAGGTAGCTCTTAGGATCAAAACCAATAATGCAGATGTAGTCTTAGGACAGGGAAGAGTGTAGAAATATTACCTCCCTTCATCTGGACACTTAATTTATTAATGCAGCCCAAGATTTCAAAAAAAAATGTTTATTTTTGAGAGAGACAGAAAGAGAGTGTAAGTGAGGGAGAGGCAGGGAGAGAGGGAGACACAGAATCCAAGCAGGTTCCAGGCTCTGAGCTGTCAGCACAGAGCCTGATATGGGGCTTGAACCCACAAACTGTGAGATCATGACCTGAGCTGAAGTCGGATGCTTAACCGACTGAGCCACCAAGGCACCCTGCCCCTGCCCCCAGGATTTTTTTTTAAATATCACACTGTTGGCCCAGAATGCCTAAGTCTCTCTCTAGACAATTTATTATAATCCCTTTGTGTGTCTAATGCTTTCTGTCTTTGCTGTCAATAGGTTGGTGAGAAGTTCCGTGCCCGTTCTTTGAAATTTCCTGGCTTGATATCAGGTTGCACCATGGACTGGTTTAGTCGCTGGCCAAAGGAGGCTTTGATTGCTGTGGCCTCCTATTTCCTTTCAGGCTACGGTATTGTCTGCTCCAGTGACACTAAAAGACAAGTTGTAGAAACAATGGGCCTCTTCCATGACATGGTTTCCGAGAGCTGTGAAAGTTATTTCCAAAGGTGAGTGACTTTGCCTGAGCGTGTTAGCTGCAAAACCAGAGTTCACTCCAAAGAGAAATTCAGTGCAGCAGCCACTAAAAGGCTCTTTATATTGATTGAGTGCAGAGTCCCAGATGCAGTTAGATTTTGTTCTTGCTTTGATTTTCTAGTGATTATGCATTGAAATAATGATAAATAAATGAGACTTAAAAATTAACTAGTGTCCGTACTTAAGTATCACTTTCTCTCCAGGCCTCAAAGTAACAGATGCTTAATGAATCACTCTATTTCATTTGCTTAATTTTTTTTTTTGAAAACGATTTAACCGATTCATTATAAACTATTTAAAATTAGTTTATTATTTACATGCATTATTTATTCTGATTAAAGAAGTACACTGTTTTAAAGTTTCACTATTGCCTTATGTTAGGGGATATTTAGGTTTTGTGTTTGCATCTCTTAGCCTTTTTTCTTAAGTTTATTTATTTATTTTGAGAGCGAGAGAGCAAGAGTGAGAGCTGGGGAGGGGGGGAGGGGGAGGGGCAGAGAGAAAGGGAGAGAGAGAGAATCCCGAGCAGGCTCCATAGCCTGCAGAACCCAACACGGGGTTCGGTCCCACAAACCATGAGATCATGACCCGAGCCAAAGTCAAGAGTCAGAGGGTCAACCATCTGAGCCACCCAGGCACCCTTGCATCTCTTAATCTTATCAATGTGTTCACACCAAATAATTTTAATTGACTGCTAAAAATAGCAATGGTGTTCATATGTGAAAGCTGTCATCAACAGTTCAAAAATACAACTTTTTCACCCTCCCAAAGCATGATAGTCACTGTGTACATTTGACAGATGTGAGTAAAGGTGGGCCAACGTGATCTTCAGGCTTCTGGGGGTGCTAAACCTGCCAGAAGAATTTTCCTACATAGAGAGTCTAGCTAACAGTTTCATGGATTTTCCAGAGGGTCCCTATCTCACAAAAGTATGTTTATCTTGGACCCTTTTCTTTACTTAAAACTAGACCCAGGATCCCCACCCCCTTAACAAGTTCTATATAATCTCCCAGATCCTCTTGGTGAATCCATGGGTATTAATTCATACGGTTAGGAAGATTTTCCTTCCATTTAACTTGAACACTGCCGGTTACTGTCCTCTGTGGAGAAAAAGTTTACCTTTGTACAGCTCCAAAAAAAAAGACTGTGTCTTTATTTTTGCAAAATTTGGTGTATTGTCCAAAATTTTCATATCCTCACTGACTGTAGAAGTTTTTTCTGAATGTGATATTTATAAAATGCTTAAATGCTAGTCACTTATATGTCCAGTCCTTAAAATTTTTTTTAGTGTTAAAAATCTTTGGAACTCCAAAAATGAAAAAATTAATATAAAAGGTAAAATGATTTTATAGTATGTGAGGAGCTCTTCTTTGACTCAAGCTTCTCCTCTATAAAATTATTCCTTTTATTTACGTCTACTGTTAAATAGAATTACTATAGCAAAGCCATAGTGAGTTGAATATTTGAGTCAAGTGTGGCTGCCTTGATTTCAAGGATGATCTGGTCAATCTGGGGAGACACTGTTTTTCACATTTGTAGGCCCAGCCAGCTAGTTTTTAACAGTGAAGAAGTGTTTAGCAAATATCAGTTGAATGAAAACAGATCATAGCACAAATTCCTTTCAACCACTTACCCCTAATATTTGTATAGAATCTTAAAGTTTACAAGGTGTATTTACAGATGCCATATATATATATATATATATATATATATATTATATATAAAATTCATAAAATGCTGGTAGGTGTGGGGCAGTGATTCTTTTCTCAGTTTTACAGATGAAGAAACAGAAGCCCAGAGTGGGATAAGGGTCAAGTCAAAGACCCCCTAAAGGGTCAAAACATCAGATATTTAGTGTCCTTTACACCTCACCTCTAGGGAAGCCATTCACAATTCCTCCCCTCCTACTAGTGAATCACCCTTCAAAATTACACTGATTCCACAGTGGGAAGCGCATCTGTAGGATGCTTTATAGGAATACATCAGAATGACAGAGACGAAGATCATTGTCATGTTCTACTTTCAGATACCGCCGAAGAGCTCACGTGACTCCCAAGTCTTATCTCTCCTTTATAAATGGTTATAAAACCATTTATGCTGAAAAGGTGAAATTTATCAATGAACAAGCTGAACGTATGAATATTGGTAAGCAGAATGGAATCTTTTAAGGACTTTTTCGTAGGAATCTATATATATAGATGCCTGTTAGGGTCATTTACCTTTAAGAAGCTCCAGGCAGAAGAAAATCCAAACAGACGGGGCCAATTTTTTCTCTCAAACCATTTTCTCCTGGCCCTTTCAACTGGATTCACGCTGTCGGGCTGGGCGTCCTCATAGTCACTGAGCCCCTGCCTGCAGGTAGAGAAACTACCAGTTCTTGGAAAGCCAGTTCTTGGAAACTGACCACAACTTCAGTTTTTGGTTTCGTTACACTTTGCCTTGACTTGCCTAAACTTTGCCATGTCAATGCTTCTCAGATTTCAAACAAAGGAAAAGGAAAAACAAATCAAAACAAAAAGAGAGAGTTTCCCTGAGCAATGGATGTCTGTGTCCAGGACATGTAATATAAGCGGGAAAATTATAAATTGGAGCAAGTTATATGTCCAGAAAACATTTGGTCCAAACAGGCCAAAAAGAAGTGGTTTTTTTTCCCCCGCTTCTCCTGCAAAAAATGTGGTGACCTAGCATAACTAAACTCCAAGGTCTATGCAGTTATAGTGATGGAAAGAAACACTGTGCAAGAAACTGTCCTCTGTTTTTCTCATGGTTCATCTTCTTGTGGCTCTCCATAGGATACTCTACAATCAGCGGTCAGCTGGAGCTACCTGGACTGGCTCTGGAGAGATAGTTAAATTCTTAGGAACTTTATGATCTAGTCATTAAACGCAGCCTTTATTCAAAACATGTAAACTCACAATTAAATAAGTTATATTTTAAGAAGGCAAGTGTGCTCAAAATTTATCACATCTTAATTATTTTCACTCTGTTTTACTGCTATTCATGTTCTTGAGGTTAATTATTTTTATTCTATCAGTACGGTAGACATAAAATGGAGTGCTACTGACAGTCTCTTGGTGGCTTAAAATCAGCCATGGTGGGGATATTTACACCATGGGAATTGGAAAACATGCAAATGAGTGTTCCCCCCTCTCCCCAAGAGACCCAGATACTAAACACTTACCAACACACCACCGTCTAGAACTCAGTTGCAATGTGAGAAATCCACTTAACCAGCTCTTTTGCTCTGTGGTACTGAGAGCCTTGGAGCCAACTGCACAAGGTTTAGCCGCTTGTTTCATTTTCATAGCAAAGAAAACCACAAAATGATGACTATATTAGCTGTCTCATTTGCCATTCCAGCTGCAATGTGCTTCAAAGGCAAAAAAAAAAAAAATGATATTTACATCATTAAAAATGATGTTTGCAAAGCCAAGGACAGCACTAAATTGTCAAATAAGTTAGTTACCTGACTAAAGTAATCTTAGTATGGCATTGTGACTTTCCCTTCAATTTAGCTGGGTGGTGTTCTTCACCCCCTGCTGAAACTCTCAGAGATTTGGTCAGTATTGTTGCTCCTAATATATGAATATTAAAAAAAATTTTTTTAATGTTTATTCATTTTTGAAAGACAGAGACAGAGCACAAGCAGGGGTGGGACGGAGAGAGAGGGGGACACAGAACCCGAAGTAGGCTCCAGGCTCTGAGCTGTCAGCACAGAGCCCGACGCGGGGCTTGAACTCACGAACTGTGAGATCATGACCTGAGCTGAAGTCAGATGCTTAACCAACTGAGCCACCAGGCACCCCTATATGAGTATTTTTTAAAGCATTTGTCCATAAATAATTATCTTGTGTTATAATCCTGGTACAGTGCCTTGTAAATAGTAAATATTGAACAAATATTTGGGATGTCCATATTCTAAGGAAAAGTGTATGTGTGTGTATTTGCAAAGGTCTTGATAAGCTTATGGAGGCAAGTGAATCTGTTGCTAAGCTCTCTCAGGATCTTGCGGTAAAGGAGAAGGAGCTGGCAGTGGCTTCCGTAAAAGCAGATGAAGTGAGTGGCATTTACTTTATAACTAGTGATGAAGAATATTATTCCATATTTTAAAAAGCATCATTTAAAAATGTTATTAAAAATGGTTAATATATAAACCCATAGACTATTTCTTTTCTTTAAAAAAATTTTTTAATGTTTATGTATTTTTGAGAGACAGCCCACAAGTAGGGGAGGGGCAGAGAGAGATGGAGACACAGAATCCGAAGCAGGCTCCAGGCTCCGAGTTGTCAGCCCAGAGCCTGATGCTGGGGCTTGAACCCATGAACCATGAGATCAAGGCCTGAGCCGAAGTTGGATGCTTAACCAACTGAGCCACCCAGGTGCCCCAACCTGTAGGCTATTTCTCGTGAGATAATGTTCACAAAGACCATTACATATTTTTGTTTAACTTCCACCAAGGCACATTACTATATCCTCCACCTGACTATTCTTTCTTCTCTGGCTCTGTCTCTCTTTATATAATTTTTATAAAAATTTTTATAAATTTTTTATAAATGCATAGAAATTTGTTTATATAATTTTTATATAAAATTTTTGCTTGACTATAACTTATACTTAAGTTTTCTCTTTAAGGTCCTCTCATGCTCTAAGTTTCTAGGATGGCCCAGGTCTCATCTAAAGTTTGTGTCAAGGAGGGAAAAGCTAATAGGAATTGTTGGTGGAGTTAAAAAAAAAAAAAGATACTCCTCTCAAGTTGATAGGGATATATGGTTGCTGCTCCTTCATCTGTGACCCTACCAGCCTGTGACTGCTTTCAGCTTCCACTCACTGAGTTGGTTAAGAGTGGATACTTAAATCTTTTTTTTTTTTTTCATTTTTTTTTTTTCAACGTTTATTTATTTTTGGGACAGAGAGAGACAGAGCATGAACGGGGGAGGGGCAGAGAGAGAGGGAGACACAGAATCGGAAACAGGCTCCAGGCTCTGAGCCATCAGCCCAGAGCCTGATGCGGGGCTCGAACTCACGGACCGCGAGATCGTGACCTGGCTGAAGTCGGACGCTTAACCGACTGCGCCAGCCAGGCGCCCCTGGATACTTAAATCTTAACCCTTAGCCAGTTACTGAAGTAAGAGAGATAGCATAGGACAGGGTTTTAGCATAGTCCTGTCATATTGTAGGTGCTCAACAAACAGGAGCTATTTTATGTTTTTTACGTGGGCATTAATATGGTTTCTGACCTTATTCCATTATCTATATTTGAATTGTGTTAATTTTCTAGAAATTACATACAGTGGAAATACCATTTTCCTGAAAGCTTAAAATGTTAGTCTATAGATATAAATATAGTCTATAGATATAAAATATCTTAAAAATATAGTCTATAGATATAAAAATATACATATATAAAAATATACATTGAGAGAGAGAGGGAGAGAGAGAGAGCGAGCAGGGGAGAGGGGCAGAGGGGGAGAGAGAATCTTAAGCAGACTCCATACCCAGTGCAGAGCTGACACAGGGTATGGACCTGTGTCCATAAAGTAACTGTGTGTCCCACGACCCTGAGATCATGACCTGAGCCAAAATCAAGAGCCACGTGCTCAACCAACTGAGCCACCCCAGCGCCCCTTATTTATATATTTGTAAGCCTTAGGAGAAGACTGCAAGGGACCATTTAAAGGAGTTACTGTAATATACCTTAAAGCATAAATTAAAGAATATATATAAAATATACATAGGGAATCAATTTGCTTTTATTTGTGTTTTATATTGTATCAAATAAATGTTCTTCCACTCCTCGAATCTGTAAATTTTGCTCAGGAGATACCTATTTGCCCTCATGTGTTCCCTCGATTTAACAGGTGTTAGCAGAAGTCACAGTAAGTGCTCAGGCTTCAGCCAAAGTCAAAAATGAAGTGCAGGAGGTGAAAGACAAAGCCCAAAAAATCGTGGATGAAATTGATAGTGAAAAAGTAAAAGCTGAGACCAAGCTGGAGGCAGCTAGACCGGCCCTGGAAGAAGCAGAGGCGGCCTTGAACGTGAGTGTGTGCTGTGACCTGCTCTCAGCACAAGTCCCAGCCAGAACCAGGTTTCATTCTGTGAAATTCACTGCAGGACTTCTAGAATCTGAAAACTGAATTGAATTCTAATGTGCTTTATAATCTCTGAGTCTGAAGACAAATGTTTCTGCTGGTTCAGTTTTCTAAGTTCTAATTTTTTTTAAGTCTTCAGCCCCTATAACTTACTATTTTCATTCCATAAATCAGCCTTCCATGAGATCTGAGAAATAATGGTGATTAACGGCCTAAGCAATAGCATAAGGGATTCAGATTATATAGAGAGCCTCCTCAGTTCCTCCAAAGCATCCCCTCCAGATTATATTACTTGCCCTTTAAAAATCTTCTTGTGGGGGCACCTGGGTGGCTCAGTCGGTTAAACATCTGACTTCAGCTAGGTCATGATCTCGCAGTTCATGAGTGCAAGCCCCATGTCAGGCTCTGTGCTGACAGCTTAGAGCCTGGAGCCTGCTTTGGATTCTGTGTCTCCCTCTCTGACCCC